ACTTTGAGTCCTGGATTACCCCACCAAAGCGGGTTACTTCACCTGCCTGGGGTCCCCCGCCTCAATGTAAACAGGCCCTAAGTCTCCTTCCTAACCGTTGTGTCTCAAACTGGTGGGGAGGTTTGCATTCCTCTAGAAACTATACTACGTGAGACCTCGGATTAGTCCCTGTTGGGTTCAACTGTGCCGCTGAAAGGGCAGACGAATTGCCATGCATGACCCACCAGGCTGGGGAATGAGCGGTATCAGGTCGTTTCGCCCGAAGATCGGTTTGCCCAATAGCAGTTCGCCTAGACTTAGTCGATTCGCCCGAAGCGTACTTGTCGTTCCTTAAAACTGAAAAAGGGAATAAGCATGGAAGGCCAGTGACTGCACATGTGAAATCCAAGGCCAACTAAAATAACATCTCTAATGGTATGTTCACCATGTTGTAGAGTGTTGTATGTCATCAGATAAATCGACGAATGTCCTGGCGAACGCCATCGGGCAAAACGACCGCAGTTCGATTAAGCGATCGGTTATAATATAGGCCCTATCCTCATTAAAAGAGTATAATTATGGGAACCAGGCGCACTTTCCACGATAGCAAATGGAAAAATGAGGTGTGCGAGGGATAGGGAAAGTTGGAGGAGAAGTATGGAAGCCTTATGTGAAGCAGAGCTCAAGTTGCGAGGTGAGTTTAAGTGGCCATACAACTTCAGTTATCATTCGGCAGATGGTCGATTCGCACAGATTATGGCGTGTACGATCACGGGGCGAAAAAAATGGATTAAACGAACGTCAAGGGCGAAGTCAAAAGCGAGATAAAGACCACCTTGTACACCTTTGACGCGCGACAAATACTGGTCTTTGACGACGTCTTCAGGCCGCAAAAAAGGCCGTTTTTGTCACGCCTTTAGTTTGACGTGTCAAAGGTAAAGTCAAAATTACCAGTATATTGGACAACGCCTTTGTCAAGCGTTAAAGGAACGCGTCAAAGTCAAAGTTGTTACGTATTTGACTTCAACCTTTACCAAGGGCAAAGGAGTAATTAAGCAAAAAACTTATATATTTGACTTTACCTTTGACGCTGGTCAAAAATGCAGTAAATCCAGTTTTTTGTCCTTTGGATTTACTCGCCAGTACAAGGTGGTGATAAACCAGCCTCCTCCTCAGGCGCTTCGTTTTTCGCATGGCAGAGGCGAGCGCGAAACGAGTGACTGGTGATGAACCGCAAGGGACCATGAGAAGGGTACACACGGCAGGCGACTCGCCTGTTGTCTCCTTCCCGCCTTCCTTTGCGAGCACATTTTCATCAAAAGAGAGACGTCTGGGTACCAGGCAGAGTGATAAACCCTACCACATAAAGTCCTCCCTTTTTTCTGCGGGCAAGTCTGTTTTTCACTTCCTCTAATTTGGAGTACTTGAAAAGACTGCATGAATCGAGTTAGATCTTTGTTGAACATGCGCTGCATTTTGCTGGGATACAGTTTCGAACTCAGGCCCAATAGCTGTACGCTTGGTATAGAGGGCTTAGGTATGACCAGCGGCTTAACAAAAAATAAATGCTTGCGCTCGAAAAACCAGTGTGATGAGAGAAAACGGTATTGAATAGTCCAGAAGTTTGGCTGCGGCGACCTCAAAAGTTTTTAACACGATTCAGGCGGGGCCTCTTTCTCTCCTCCTCGATCAAGAAGAAGACAAAAAGAAACTCTTCTGGGGGTGGCTGATGATTTAATTTATTGGAAATGCTTATTAATTCGCCTTTGCGTTCCGTCGACGATCTTGTATGCGAACGTTTACTCTAGGAGAGAAGAGCCCTGACTGCCGATAACATAAATGACCTCTGTTACCGCGCGTGCTCATTTGCTTAGGTAGCACTGGCATATCAGCAATTTGCCGCCAGATACTGCTCATTTGAATACTGCCCGTACAAGCGTTTTTATAATTTCATCCTAAATGGTAGACGCAAAACCACGTTCTGAGTGAGCTACAACTAAATCGCTATTTATTTATTCATTGAATTTTATATATTCTTTTTCAAACAACAGGGGATATTGTAGAAAAATATCACTCAATAAGCACATTCTATAGTAGTATAGTGAGGGATATTGCAGGCCGCTTTTAAGCAGGAATCACAAAAATTTGGTAAGGAATATATTAGCACCGATGACGTCATAAATAAGTTTTTAATGACGCTTATGCATGTTTACGTCAGACGAGCAAATTTCATCACCAAGCCTCGTTTTGAAGTTGAAAAATTGCAAGTGTTGAATAAATGAATTCCCAAGGCAGAACAGTTGAAAAGAATATTCACACCCAAGAGTACTAATGCGAAGAGTTTTGCTTACAAACGAGTCTTGGTCTGACGTAATTAAGCATATAATAAGGATCATTCAGAAAGGGTAATGTCAAGTTCAGTTCTGGTTGTACCTGATGCAACCGATTTGACGGGGTTTTGAGTTAATTCAGATCAGGGTATACGCCACTTCCACATTTCCCATAATGCACCTTATTTGCTACTCCAAATTTTCCATAACCTTTGTTCTGCATTTCTTCTGGGTATTACAGCCGTCCCAAGAGAAATTCAACACAATGCTTATGCAAAAATTTGGGGGACAAATAAGGTGCATTATCGGAAATGTGGAACTGGCATATAACTTGTGCTTATTTGGTCGTGATTATTTGCCCAAACACAGCTGCTAACAGCCCTTGTATCTTATTCCTCTTTTTGAAACCGCCATGAGTTAATTAGATGTTGACATTGTTGATCTTGCTACCATTTTGGCAAAAAATCAGATACATCATTAGACTTGAGGAGTTACTTGTTTTAATTCCATGGGAATCAAGATCTTGAAAAAGAACAGCATTAGTGAAAATAATAAGAACAAAGTGTTTTTTTTTCTCTGAGTATGTCCCAAATCACTTTTTTATCACACGATCCTTCCGGGTCCCGTGGCAAGACATTTAAGACCGCTGTTGTCTCTGTTCAGTTAAGGTCAGTTTGCTTCGAATACTGAAGATTTTTGCTTGGATTTAAAATTGAAATTATAGATAGACAAGAACGATCATCACGGTCATTCTTGTATTGAGAGATTCAATAACAATTGACAAAGAGAAAGTCAAAGCACAGGGGCACCCAACGACTGTTTTCTGTAAAATATCTGTTCGGGAAGCAAATATTGCCTAAAATTTTATATTACTTGAAGACGGCTAAAAATTTCTAAGTGACTGTTACAATCCGGCACAATTTTCGACGCTTACCTAATAAATTCCCCACGATTTTCTGAAGTTTAATTTTTCACATTTGACCAAAACGAAAAGAATGGACAATCCACCCGGTCCACTGATGATAAGGCTCTGCAGCCCAAGTAATATATTAACACTAATCGTATATAAATTTAGCGCTGGTACTCATTAAAGGGAATTCAGGCCCAGTTCAGACGTCGTGCTTCTGCCGTGCCGAACTTAATTGTAATTTGGTTCGACAGTAGCACGACAGGAAAACGACTTTGATTCAGACGTCGTGCCAGAGTCGAACCAAATTCAGGATTTACTGATGCCTCATAACAATTCTTCTCCCAACTCCCCGTGGGAACCCAATCTCGCCAAAATACATTAATATAATTTATGAATTTTGTTTAGCGCGGCAGAAGCACGACATTTGAATCGCTGTCGTGCCAGAGCCTTGTAGCACGGCAGCCCTTTTCGAACTTAATTACTTGCCGAACTTAATTCAAAAGTTTGATTCAGACGCCGTGCTTCTGCCGTGCTTTTGTCGAACTTAATTCCTGAATTTAGGCACGGCAGAAGCTCGACGTCTGAACTGGGCCTCAGGTTATTAGTAGTTCGTGCCATCTGGAACAACTTGACCACCGGCCCCACTAAGTCGAGACGGCGTTTTCTTCGCGTCTGGCTGCTCTATTTCTAATTCATTCTAATCGTTTTCTTAACGCCTGAGTCATAACGATCGCTGAGGTGACGCCACAGAAAAAAAACGATGTTAACTGCGACATAGACAGCATGTGATAGTGAACTTATAAGTTTATTAACATTTAAAGGAATTGGGAGCCTTTTTCTTCCTTTATTTTCTTTCTTCCTTTTTCCCCTCTTTTCTTTTCTCTTTTTTTTCTTAAAAGCTCTCGTGAAACCTTATTAGAATCGAACTTGCAGTGCCTATTACCCCTGTGTTAAATAATTTCAAATTACTTTCTCACGAACCGATCAACTGGAGCTAATGAACAGCTAACAGATTAAAGTGACGTTGATTTAACTTGTCCTTCGTAAAGTAGATTTATATCAACCAATTCAAGAAGTTGCTTGAGTCAATTTACTTATTTATGATTAGAACATATGAGGATTTGTTTTACTTTCTAATTTTTAACGGCAGTACTCCTGGTATGGCAATGATCACCAATCATAGATCGGATGTAAGTGTTTTATCGATTCACAAGTGTGAAGAGTATGGAAGAAAAAATTAAAATTATCAACTTTTTTTCTGTGAAAAATTTACATTTAAAACAGTTGTTAACTGAGCGCACCTGCAGAAATAGTCCTAATCGTGTATGAAATAGTCAGCCTGTGAAATAGGCAACTCTATTAGGGGCTAAAATCTACATAAATTCTAGGCAATGAACACAACTGACGGATTTAAAAACGTCCATTTTCGCGCAAAGGAGTGCGTAAAATAAATTCACCCGATAAAATGCATGCAAATTCATCATGAGAATATATGATGGCAATAACTTGTTTATCGTATGTGTCAATTGGTCTGTCTTTCTCGTCAAAACATTGCTGCGAAAAGATAATGATTTATATGTATTCAAAAACATGACGAAGCAATAAAAAAATAAGTGGTAACAGGTGAAAATCGATACCAAGAGATTCGCTCTTGATGTGTTTTAGTATTGCGCTTCTGAGATATCGAACAAGTTGACACAATTGATACAAAGCCTTAGTTAGTCTGACCCAGTGTTTGCTAAACTGCCTGAACACAGAAACTTGTATACTTATCAAAAGAGATGGAAATGAGAAATACATCAAGCGCGGGTGAAAACTACATTTCATACAGTCAGATTTTCTGCTCTGCCAAAGACTTGGCGGGACTACACAAAGAGCTGATAACTCTTTCTGTGTTCAATACTACTTTGGCCTTCATTGCTTTTATAGGGAATGCGCTGATACTTTTTGCTCTTCACAAGGAAACTTCGCTTCATTCGCCGACCAAACTCTTACTCCGCAATCTATCAGTAAGCGACCTCTTAGTTGGTGTAATCTCTGAGCCCCTTGTTGTTGCATACTGGATGTCCGTGGTGTTCAAGCAATGGAGCATATGTCGCCTTACACTTGGTTCAACTTTTATATCTACTTACATTTTGGGTCCGGTGTCGTTGCTGACTCTAACGTCTATAAGCGTGGACAGACTTCTTGCGCTTACTTTGGGCCTTAGATACAGACAAGTTGTAACTTTGAAGCGAACTTGGGTAATTGTCATTAGTTTTTGGGTTCTGTCTTCAATTGCTGCCACAATGTACCTTTGGGATTACCATATACCTTTGTGGTATGGCAATATAGTTACGCCTTTATGCCTGGTCACTTCAATCTTCTCCTACACAAAGATTTATTTGAAACTCCGCCATCACCGAGTCCAAGTTCAAGGCCATATAAATCAAGGAGCTCATCTGAATATAGAGCGTCACAAGAAAGCAGTTTCTAGCGCGATGTGGCTGCAATTTACTTTGGTTCTTTGCTATTTGCCAGCAGGTCTTGTGGGAGAATTGTGGGCTAACAGCAAATTCTCGTCTTCTTTGTATCTTGCTAGGCAATGTGCGTCGACTCTAGTTTTCTTAAACTCCTCATTAAATCCATTGTTGTACTGCTGGAAGATCAAAGAGGTGAGGCAGGCAGTAAAAGACACAATCAGACAACTTTTCAGTTCATCGAGTTAGAAACTCAACAATGGACATCAAAAGTGTTGGGACCTTCAGGGGCACCCAACGAGGATATAGTTCCAAACCACTTAACATAGCATTGTTGAACGCATTTTAGTATTTAAACGGTAGATATAGGCATATTTTTATCCCCTAAAAACTTTTCATCTGTTCGGATTTCCTAGCTGAAAGTCTAGTGATCCGAAAATTATAAGGATCAAAACTTACCTTTTCGAAAATTTCAGCCAGGAAAAGGCTTCCGAAAATTCTAGGTGGCCTTTTTTAGGGTAAATATCCGTTTAAAATGGGTAATTATACCATTTTGTAGATGTTCGAAAATCCTAGGAGAGGCAGGCAAGCAAGAAATTTTAGCTACATTTTACAACAGATGTTCCGAAAATTCTAGTTCTCAAATCGTCCTCCGAACAGATATTTTCCCGAAAATTGCCGTTGGGTGCTCCTGGACCTTCATAGTGATATTAGTAAAACTGTGGACCTCCCCCCCTCCCACCCCAAACAATGTTAAACTTTGAGAAAAATGGGTGGAAATGAGTTCGTTTCGGGTCATAACACTGTCGGGTGGAAGTGGGGGATGGATGGATAAATCCAAAGCCGATCAAAGAATTTTCGTTAAAAGCAGAGTCCTATGAAAAATAACTTGGAAGAGTCTTTTCCACCGTGTCCCAGGTTCTTTGGAAATCCATTATAGCTCTGTTGCAAGAAAAAACGACTTGACAAATCCCGATGAGCGATGTGTTGTGAAACGGTTTTCGAACCCCGACACGTCCAGGCCGCCAGGGTGAGGGGGAGGGGTAACTGAAATTAGAGTCAAACCCCAAGAGAGAATGCAAACCCTTAAAACAGACCCTTCTGGGCGTGGCTCAGAATTCATTTTACCCCTAGAAGAGATATATTATACGCACGACAGGCAACCAATTGACGCCAGAACCAACTGGGAGATATAGTGATTTGAATTAGGCGATGTTTTCTGAAATTGAATGGTGTCTCCAACACTGTACGATGGCGTCTGATTTTGTTTGAATATATATTTTTTACTCACACTACCCTAAGCGATATCTGGATAGATAAAGCTTTCCGTCCTTAACACTCTAAGTGAGACCAAAATCTGCAATTAACACTCTTACAGTGAGATATAGAACATTCCCTTCTCTTTTATATACCTGGGACTGACATTGGTCTCCCAACTCTCCCGACCCTGTTAATGTAGCCTTTGTATCGGGCCTTCTTGACATGAGAGGGAGGAGTGGGAAGAGAGAAAGGAAGGGCGTTTCTTACCCTTCGCTCTCCCTCTTTTTGCTTTTCTTCTTTCTTCACCCTTTTCCTCATAAACGCCTGATATTCAGACTACTGTTTATGATTAATTAAGAAACATTGAAAATTGACCATTTGGGCCCTGACGAAAAACGAAACTATATTAAAGCGATAACAGACAAAGTAAATTTGTGTCAGGAAGTATTTTTTATTTCTTTATTTCTTTCAGAAATAAATCTCCTTTATGCTCCATGTTCCTTTAGATAGTATTATTGAATCAGTTATTGCTGTTGGTGGAGTCTTGCTTTGGGTGAGCTCTGTTTGCTGGGATACCCAATAATGACATTTCCAGTTTGGGATAAATTTGGCCACAAGAGTGGCCGTTTATTTCATTTAAGCATATCAAGCTAGGAAAGTCCAGATACACAAGAAGATTAATCCCAGCAAAGGTGAGGGCACACCCGCCATCCGGGAGATGAAAGTGGAGCAAAACGGGAGGGAAGGGAGGGAAAAATGTTTTTCAACTTTCTTGTTGCCGTGAGCAGAGAGGCCATGTGCCTCGCTTTCATGTCTTAAAAACACAATATATAATGTCCCGGATGGCAGGAACGCCCCCTCCCCAGTAACTGGAGAAATGACACATTAATCAGTCACATTAAGCATAAAACCATTTATTTCTTTCAGAAATAAATCTCCTTTATGCTCCATGTTCCTTTAGATAGTATTATTGAATCAGTTATTGCTGTTGGTGGAGTCTTGCTTTGGGTGAGCTCTGTTTGCTGGGATACCCAATAATGACNAGATACATTTTAAATTCTCTTCATTTCATTCAATAACGTATCTATATCAACATAACTGTCAACGTTTAAGGAAGATCTGTTTGGTTGAGAGCAAAAATTAATGCATAATTTACAGATTACCTTCGCTTTCATGTCTTAAAAACACAATATATAATGTCCCGGATGGCAGGAACGCCCCCTCCCCAGTAACTGGAGAAATGACACATTAATCAGTCACATTAAGCATAAAACCATTTTCTCTACATGGAAAAAAATGGAAATATTAGGGAAGTTAAGCTTCCCGTTTACGTCAAACGGCAAACGAGAATTTTTACTACGTGACCAAGTTTCCTCTGTACTTGTCGTTTATACTGTTCATTATTTCTACAGTTTCTACTCATAAATGAGTAGTTTTACGCAATTTTTCATCCACAGGAATTGCTTTGAGCAGTTTTCATCTGTTCATGTTCTATTTTGCGAAATTCTCAACTTGAATCTGACGTTTGCCTTTTGCCGTATACGTGAACCTTAAAAACTCAACAGATAGCTTAAGTCATGAACAGCTGGCGCATTAATTGGATCCTGTGCTTTTACCTAGGTACCTTATGAAAGGCCAACAAATGTAACAGAAGGGACATCCTACTTAAGTTATTTATGGACTGAAGTACCGGATTAAACCAATAAAGATTATTAAAACTTGCTGATTTCTTGTTCTAACTTAAGGATTCACCTCCGCAACTTGCTCAGAGTGTTATCCAGAACACATAATAAATTGCAATGTATCAGCGCTTTGGTTTTTTCCTGTTAGGCTTCTTACACTAGGCATTTCCCTCAGTCCATTATAGAAACTGAACAAAGAAAATATAAAAACTAGAACGTTTTATCACATTGGCATTCAAACGTTTTTATTACTTCCTCTTTCCTATGGGGCGAAATACAATTCAGATCGATTCTTAATCACAAGTGGATCCACGATTAGTTCACCACTGAAGATCTTTCGAGAATTTCTCAGTCGGGGATTATTATTGAAGTGACGGTTTCTTCGAATATTCGGTCACCTGCCAGCCGTCAAATTATTATTCTTTATGTAGAATCTGCTTTTTAAGGAACCCTTAACGACGTACGTCAAGTACACCGCCTTTGTTGTAATAATCTCCTTACTACAGGGCAAAATTATTGTATCAGAACATGCAGCTGACCCCAATAAATTCTAAAACGGAAATGTCATATGCTATAGATTAAGAATAATACAAGAATATTTTCAGCCTAAAATCGGCAGAAAAATAAGAATATTCAGCCTGGGCCGGAAAAACAACATTCTTATGAAAAAAAAAAAGAGTGTATTTCTACTCATAAATTAGTAGTTTTACGCAATGTTTCATCCACAAGAATTGTTTTGAGCAGTTTTCATCTAATCATTTTGCGAAATTCTCAACTTGAATCTGACGTTTGCCTTTTGCTGTATACGTGAACCTTAAAAACTCAAAAGATAGCTTATAGGTCAGCCCAGCTGGCGCATTAATTAGATCCTGTGCTTTTACTTAGTTACTTTGTGAAAGGCCAACAAATGTAACAGAAGGGACATCCTACTTAAGTTATTTGTGGACTGAAGTACTGGATTAAACCAATAAAGATTATTAAAACTTTCCGATTTCTTGTTTCAACGTATAAGGATTCACCTCCCACACTTGCTCAGAGTGTTATCCAAAACACATAATAAATTGCAATGTATCAGCGCTGTTGTTTTTTTCCTGTTAGGCTTCTGACACTTGGCATTATAGAAATTAGAACAAAGAAAATATAAAAACTAGAACGTTTTATCACATTGGCATTCAAACGTTTTTATTGCTTCCTCTTTCCTATGGGGCGAAATACAATTCAGATCGATTCTTAATCACAAGTGGATCCACGATTAGTTCACCACTGAAGATCTTTCGAGAATTTCTCACTGGGGGATAATTATTGAAAAGGTGACGGTTTCTTCGAATATTCGGTCACCTGCCAGCCGTCAAATTGTTATTCTTTATGTAGAATTTGCTTTTTAAGGAACCCTTAACGACGTACGTCAAGTACACCGCCTTTGTTGTAATAATCTCCTTACTACAGGGCAAAATTATTGTATCAGAACATGCAGCTGATCCTTACGGCAGGAAGAGTGGTAGAAAAATATATAAAGAAAACAAAAATGAAGTGGTGAATTATATTTTCCCAATATTTCGGTTTGCAACACAAACCTTCAACGCGGGCTATAAAAGAAAAATGAATACATATGAATGTGAACGTTGCATATGCGCGATTTGAATACAGAAAACGATAGGCTTCTAAAACGATAAATGTCACTAATTGAATTCATCACGTCTGTTTATACCATGAGGTTCTAAAGTCATAGCTTTGTCAATGAGGTTGAGCCTTGAGTGCCTTTCTCAAGTCACGGTTGCTACGGATTATTTCTAAGGGAATAAGAATGACATCGTTGACAGAGCGATCGGCTTGATCAGAAATGTTCGGAGACAGGAGTAGGATTAGGAAAGTGGCCATAGTTGAGAACAGAGTCGCGATGCTCCCCAAAGCGTTAGTGGAGATGGCGCTTGGTCTAGCTTTAATTTCTTTCAATCTTCAGTATCATCTTTTATGATTTTTTTTAATAGTTTTTATATTTCTTAACATGTTTTTACACCTTGCACAGATATATGCTAATTCTTTTAACTTAATTTCTTTTACTTACATGAAAATGACGGCCGAACATGGGTCGAAATGTCGTTTTTTATCCCTGATTTTTAATGTGTCAAATATAATTCACCACTTTACTTTTGTTTTCTTTCTTTCTTTTTTTTTTTCTATCAGTCTTCCTGCCGTAAGGATCAGTTTACTGTTTCAAACGTATATGTTGCAGTTAATTTTTTATCTCAGGTAATTTTTATTTTTCCTTTGTTTCAACTTCATTAGCATACTTTACCATACCTAAAA